AAAAATAAGTGGTTTATTAACGTTATATTGCTAGTACGGATTTATAACTTATCTGGTAAACGCCGCAATCAGGTGACAGTTCTGTTATCGCGTAAAATGGTAGCCGGATTATTTTGCTGGCTTACGATACATGTGATTTTCGAAAACTGATTGCCGGTAAAATATGAATTTTTTATTTAATAAAAATAACTTTTTTTTTTTGTTTTTAGCGAATGAACAATACCATTAAAATAACTTTAATATACAATTAATTTTTTATATTGCATTATTCACAATCTAGCAAATAAACTTATGACTACGAATTTAGCGCATTGATAAAAAATCTTTATACATAACTAAATAACACAAAAAAAAGATATAATATACTGTGTTTATTTTAAACATTAAAATCTTTTGCATTCACAGATAAATTGACATTTAAACAAGAGGCAGAGTATAAATATTCATGAACTTAAATAGTTTATTTAAAAGATCGATCAAAATCTTTATACTTAACTAAATTAATATGAATAAACAAATAGTATTTAGAATAAATTCTTGTGTTTTTTTTTAAAAAAAAATATATATATATAATTTAAATATCTTATTTTAAGTCTTTGGATTTTTCTTTCACAAATTCCTGACCAAAGCATTTATATTTTAAGTTCGTTGATAATAATTTTTCAATATTGAATAAATAGTTTGATCTTAACTATACATGATTTTAGCAATTCTCAAAGTAGGAACGAAAGTCAAAACGAAAATTAAAGCAAAAGTCATAGTGAAAGCCAAAATGAAAGTTAAGATGAAAGTCAAAGTAAAAGGAAAGTCCAAAGTCAAAATGAAAATTAAAGCGAAAGTCAAAGCGAAAATCATGGTCAAAACAAAGATCAAAACAAAAATCAAGATAAACATTATTTTACCGGCAATCAGTTTTTCAAAGTCATATGCAAGCCAGCAAAAAATCCGGCTACCATTTTTTCTGGGCGACGCTATTTGGTTTTGAATCTCATGAGTGAGCCACCACAAGCCATAGTAATGCTTTTTTTTTTGCCAATCGACGCAAGATAATAAAGAATGTTCGGCCGAATTAATATGCAGATATGCTTAAATTTGTGCTATGAAATGTAAAAATAAGCATAGTATATCTGTCAATGACATTTTCGCGAAAATCATAAAATTACCTGCATTTATCGTCGAAATGCTCAATAATAACCAATAAAGAAATTTTTTATCATTATAGCATGGCTAATTAGGTAGATATTGTAACAATTGATTGACAAAACATACTAAACTTATATGCCCTTTCAATGACTTAACGAAACACACTCTTTGCAGTTTTTGTCATTACATAATACAAAATTTTTTCGACAAATTGGATATGCCGATATTTATGGCCTTGTTTGTTGACAAGCCACATGCGAGCAAAAATATAAAATCTGTCAATTCCTTTTTATTTTATTGACTTAAAAACTTTATCAGCTTTCGGCATACTGTTATTTCATCACGCTGTCCAACTCCGTTGTCAGTCCTTACCCTTTCTAACTTTGGATCATCATTCCAAGAAAGATAAAGCAAAAAATGTGAAATATACACATTCTTTATATCAAATCTTGATATCTACGAGCTTTCCTTAATGAAATTTTCCCTAATGAATTTTATGATTATGAACAAAACTTAACGTTTAAACTTTTGAATATGATACAAGGTTACCAGACTAAGAAATCACTGAAAGTGCATTATGCAATTAATATAAGTAAATTAATGAGTTTAAATTATAACCGTTCCTCGAAACCGTCAATTTTATATAGTATTTACGTACGTCCAAAAAAAAAAAAAACATTCTGAATTTTTTCTTTTTTTTTTGTGCCTTGTGCCTCAATTACAAAAAATAATGTTAATTGAAACTTGGCTCGAAACTTATTTGCAATATGCATTTAATTTGACAGTCAATTTATTAGAAAAAAATTTTTTGTGACTCGGTTTCGGTTTCCATCATCGAGTCGCACCGCACAATCTCGCAAGTGTCCCATAAGATAGAAATTTGTGGGATGCGCTTAATTGGACTATTTTTACGCATTTGTGTCTTTTTTTTATATTGATATATAATATTTGGGGTAATCCGTTATTTTAGAGATTGTTTTGTAAGCGGAGAGAAACACCTGTAATTGATCACAAAAAAAAAAAGTCACGGGTCAATTTCAGTTTTCTTTCACATCTGTGGCGCAGTATTCACTTATTTATAGTACGGCTATTTTTATCTTTGGTAATCGATTAAATTGATTAAATTTCATACTGTACCACCTGCTTAGTAAAAAAAAAAAAAAAAAAATCCATTGTCGTACGACACGTTTTGAATTAATCGAAAGTTCTAAACTGTGGAATGAGGTAATAGAAATATAACATAATAAAATAATTTAAATAATAAATACACGTGTTTTTATGTGTGTGGCTTTGTTTACATAGTAATTATTAACGGAAGGTAAATTCCATATTATATTCAAAATAAGAAAGTCGTATTCTTAAAAAAATTGATGAAATCATGCTTATTAGGAAATTTATTCATCAGTACCATTAGATCGGGCTCGTACAATTAGAATGACACAAGCGATCGAAAGGCCCTCGATCAACTCGTTTGTGTAGTCAAATAATGTGAGAAGGAATATAGTATGATTGCTACAACATGTCAAGATTGTCGTTATTTGAAGTTATTTGATGCTTATTGAAAATGTAAAAATCGTTTTTTCATTGCTCTTCAAACATACATCTTGTTTTATCTCGCCATGCTTTCGTAGGTTTCTAGCTCATTAGTTTTTTTGTTTTTTTTAATTAACCAAAAGAAAAAGTTCTCATAATTGTAAGTGATTATTTGTACATGTCATTATATTGTTATTACAATCCAATCGATCTGTTAACAAAACACAAAGTCAACATTTGAGTACACGTCAGTTCATGAAATGCTTTTCATAATTGCAAAGATTAAATCTTATTATTATTAAAAAGTTCGTTCACGTCAGTCATGACATGGATTGAAATTTCTTTTTTAACTACTTGACATGTCATTCGATGAATACATTATGTACTTTTCCTTAAAGGAATATAAAAAGACAATTCATTCTTTTTTTTACTCTTGTAATTTTCAAATTTCCCTCCATATATCTTTTCTCAAACCTTGATAATTCTTTTTCAATGTCTTTAACTCCAATTGCTACAAAGCGTCCTCCTAGTCCAACTGACAAAGACGACGTGAAAAAGAAAAAAAATATTGACGCGCAATATGCATTAGAACTAAAATTATCTGAACCATCTGAACGTCCAAGTATTGGAACCGCTGGAAGAAAAGTTAGCGTTAAAACTAACTATTTAAGGGTTCGTTCGGTATGTAATTATAATTTTTATTTATTGATTTAAAACTTACATGCGATGATTTTATTTATTGTTTGATTTTGTCATAAAAAAAAGCTTCCCAATACTGCCTTGCTTCATTATGGCTTTGTTGTGGTACCTGATGTGAGGACTCCTTTGAAGACAAAGATTTTTTCTCAAATGGCTTCTCAGGGAACTTTTGGAAATACATGTCCTGTATTTGATGGAAATAGCGCTATTTACACATGCATTCCCTTACCAATTAGTGATGACAAAGAGACTTCCATTCAGGTGTGAAAAAACTCAATCCTCCTCGACATTCGCTATTTTTTTAAGTTATTATATATATATATACGTATGTATATATATTTGATTTAGATAACATTACCAGCTGAAGGTCGAATGAAAGAAAAAAAGTTTCACGTAACGATCCGTAAGATAGAAAAGATAGAAATGGATCGACTCATCGAATACCTTAAAGAAAAATGTCTAATGACAAGTCAAATTCCAACTTGTATTACGATTCTTAACACTGTGTTGAATTATGGACCGAGAAAAAGTTTCGCTGTCGTGAAGCAAGGAATTTTCCCAGATCACTTTAACGAAAGGCCTATTATTTTGACTGGAGGTATCGAATTGAAGATCGGATTTTGTCAAACTATGAGACCAGGATGGGGTGTGTAAATTCTTATTATTATCTATAATTTTATATAATAGTTATTTGTTTAATTGAATTTTTTTTTTTTTTTTTGTAACCATTTTTTTCGCGCTATTATTAGATAACATGTTGGTGAATGTCGACGTATGCGCTGGCCTTTTTTATCCGGCAGTATCCTTGATTGAGTTTTGTCGACAAATTTTAAACAAGCATGATGTTAACGACCTCAGACGAGGAATTAATGACTATGAGATGCGCGAACTTGAACGTGTAAGTTATGAATTATTTTCATCTGATTGCATTTGTGACTTTTTTTTTCACATTTTGCGTAATTTATTTTCCTAGGCTTTCAAAGGCATCAAAGTTCGAGTTACACATCGTGGTGATCGTAAACCGGTAGTTAAGGTGGAGCGACTCTCTTCTAAAGCTGCGGACGATCTTTACTTCAAAAATGAAAAAGAAGGTCGAGATATGTCTGTTGCCGAATACTTTGATAAAAATTACAATCACAGACTCGAATTCAAATCTCTACCTTGTATAATGGACAAAAAGAAGAATTATATTCCTTTTGAAGTATGCGAGATATTAAATAGTAAGTATTATACTACTATATTACTATATTGCTATATTTCTGCTATATTACTATATTACTATGTTGCTATACTTCTGCTATATTACTATATTACTATTTTACTATGTTATAATTTTTTAAAAATGATTTCATAGGTCAAAGATATGAAAAAACTCTCAACGATAGAGCTAGAGCTGATATGATAAGAAAGACGGCTATGCCCCCTCAAGATCGATTTCATCAAATAGAAGAAGGTATTCATCATGTTTTCAATCATAAGGATGATGAAAATCTTAAAGATTTTGGCATAGAAGTTGACTCAAAAATGATGGTCATTGAAGGTATATATGATTACAAGTTATAACTATTTATCATTATGTTATAACTCTATTTATCATTATATTATAAATTTTTTTTACTATATAATTAATCAATAATTCTTTGATTTTATTTGGATTTTTTAGGAAGAGTTCTAGAACCTCCAAAAGTAAAGTATGCAAGAGATGAATTCGTACCTCAAAACGGCCGCTGGAACCTGATGAACAAAATTTTTGTTAGAGTAAGTGTTATACATGTAAATTTTGTCTTCTTGTGTTTTATTAATAAAAAAATCATTTATATATCAATAGACTAGGATTTTAGTCAACTGGTCTATTCTTGTATTGGATCAACGCGCCAACAATCAGGTCAAAAATTTCGTTAGAGAGTTTAAGACTACTTTGATTGAAAGAGGAATGGTATGTAAAAATAATGTCGGTCATTTTAAAATAAGGTATGTATAATTAATTGTATTTAATACCCTTTTTTTTTCTTTTATATAGGACGTGCAAACGGATCCTGCAATCGAGTATGGAAATATACAAGGAGACTTTAGAAAAGTAAATATATTTCATTATGACGAATGTATGATTGATGATTATATTAATAAATTGCGCTTTTGACTTCACGTAGGAAATGGGAATGGCATATGCAAAGGCTCGACTCGATAGGAATCAACAAGTACAAATCATTATTATCATCATTCCAAAGAAATCGAGCGATATTTACGGAACAATTAAGCGAATTTCCGATACCGAACTTGGCATTCCGACACAATGCATCCTCTCCGATAAATTGAGAAAACCTAATAATAAGGCTTGTTGGAATAATATTGCTCTTAAAGTAAATGCTAAATTGGGTGGACGCAACTCAACACTTGTCGAAGGCCAATTAGAATATGTAACCAACATAAAAATTCCCGTAAGTAAATTTAATATTTTATATTTAGATTTGTATATCGATATATATATATAATATTTATTTATTTATTTTTTATTATTATTTTATTTTTTTTTTAAAAGACAATGATCATGGGCGCTGATATTTCACACCCAGGGCCTGGTCAAACAATGCAACCGAGCATTGCTGCAGTCTGTGCTTCGATGGATGTTAATGGCACAACATACTGCGGTCAAGTCAGCGTTAACGAAGAAAGACGAAACGAAACGATAGAAAAGTTAGATGAAATGGCCACAGAATTGCTTCAGATATTCAGTAACAAGAATAATGGCTGTCTACCTCATAGAATGATCTTTTATCGTGATGGTGTTAGCGAAGGTCAATTTTCTGGAGTCGTGAAAAAAGAGGTTATTGCTATAAAGAGAGCATTCGAAAAATTGTATGAGCAAGGAAAGGCACCTCTGTTGACGTTCATTGTTGCTCAGAAGAAACATCATACTAGGTAGATAAATTGCTTGAAAATTGTGAATAATTTCATATCTATTAATTTAAAATCTATTTTAAATGCTCATAGGTTCGTCCCGGTAAACAGACATGATGCTGATCAAAAGGGAAACTGCCGTCCAGGAACCGTTGTGGATCAGGTTCATTATCGTTATTTACTTTTTAGAAAATATTATGACTTTCATTAACCGTCAAATCATTTGATGTTTTTAGGAGATTGTTCAAAGAAACCACTTTGACTTTTGTACGTATCTTTTTAGTAAAAACTTTACATAGGTCATACGCAAATATACTACTAATCTTTTTTACATGACATGGTAGTTCTTCAATCTCATTCCGGAATTCAAGGTACTACTAGACCGACTCATTATCACGTTTTATTTGACGAAAATAATTTCAAACCCGATGAAATCCAAGAAATCACTTATAAGCTTTGCTACCTATACGCAAAGTAATAATTTTTCAATTAATTCTTTCATTTTTTTTTTTTTTGCCATTGTAAAATTTTATTTTTTTATTTTTTTAAAAGATCAACATCAGCAATATCAATAGTACCACCAATCGCTTACGCGCATATATTAGCGGCACGCGTTAGAATGTATCCACAAGTGATGGATACAAATGTTGTTTCGGGTTTCCAAAGTCATGGATCGTATAATCGTAGCAACCCTAGACGAAGAAACGATTCATGTGGAAGATCTTCTGATTCAACAGATGGCGATTCCGAAAAGAAAGCTGGTGAATCTGGCCATAGTGATGGAAGTTCGAATGGTCCATCGCTTCCTGAGGTTCAAGCTGTGTTAAAAAATGCAATGTATTTTGTATAAATGGTATTTCTTAGGAGTGTAGTTTATGAAAAATAGATTGAATGTCTTTTTCTTTGTTACATTTTTCCTCGTTAAATGAAATGCTAGATTTTTCTTTGTACATTAGCGTTCGTGTGCTTGTGAGTTATATTCAATTTTGGTATTTCTAATATTGTAGATATTATTCTTTCATATAATCCATTACATTGTTTCATTATCTGAGCTTTTTGTATATAAAGTGCATGCATCTACGAATTTTACCAATAGTGATCTTATCATTATTGTATGTAAGTAACCAAAGCTTAGATGTTTTTTGAAATGTGTTGTGAGCTGTAAGCAAATGGTTATAATCTGGTTGTTGTAACTGTCATGAACCATTACTGTATCTTCCAAATAAGTAAACTATAATGATATTCAACTCTTGGTTAACTGCAACAAGTAAGGTAAAAATGGTTTCACTTAAGTAGAGTAGCGTTGTCTGCATTTCAAGTCATTAATTCGTAATATATATTTAGATACATAATACATATAGATTCATAAACATCTTTGAAATTAGTTAGAAAGTGTATATTAAAATAATAAACATTTGAAATTAATTTATAAATATAATTTTTTATGCTATTAATTCAATTACTGCTCTTTCTTTATGCTAACTCTAATAATTAGTTATTTATAATAAACTTATAGTCGGTATTGGTAATTTGACAAGATCGAAAATAAATTTAAAATTGTTATGTTCAGGGCAAACCTTAAGCCAACAGTATAATTATACACATAGAAATTAGGTGTATATAATAATAACTTATGTTGATCCTTCCTATAAATTGCTGAATTGCTAATTCTGTTGATCGTTATTCATCTCTTTTGTTTATACAATAAACATCATGGAAACTGATCCTGGAGCACACAAATCAACATTAGTTCGTACAATTCATGAAACGGATATAATCGATAGTTCCGAAACCACTAGTTCAAAAGATATTGATGTAGAGACAGACAATTCAAATGTGAAGAAGCGTAAATTAAGTGATCAAAGTGATAAAGAAGAATTTAACAGACAAATTAGTAAACAGATCGTTAAGAAAAATAATTCAGATGATGTTGTTTGTTATTATGAAAATGGTGATTAATGGATTTATCTTTGAGTTTAACCCATTTAATTAGTCATTAAGTATATAAATTTAATACCTTTTTTTTTTTTGGTAGGTTTACGTAAAGTAATGCCATATTATTACGAACATAGAACGTTTGCGAAAGGACGTTGGTTAGGTCGCAAAATTTTGGATATTTTTAGTACCGAATTCCGGGATCGATCCAGAGAATATTATGTATGCACTTGTTTTATCAAATATTTCTCTAGTTTGATTTTTAAGCTTATTTGATTTGTTTTTTTCGAGAAAGACATATGCTATAGAAGAAGGCTTAATAACTATTAACACCAAAAAAGTTACACCTGAAACAATTGTTAAAAATCAAGATTTAATTGGGCATCGACTCCATCGCCATGAACCTCCTGTTACTGCTGATCCAATTAAAATTTTATGTGTCGAAGATGATTATATTGTTATTAATAAACCTAGTAGTATTCCGGTATGTTGAAAAAATTTTAATTGTTTTAGTTTAAATGAAGATTATTTGTCATTTCATCTTAATTCTTGGTTAAAGGTTCATCCATCAGGAAGGTATGAAATAAATTAACATAATGATATTGTCGTGCTTGAAGTTAGCATCTGCTTGAAGTTGAAACTGCTAACTAATGCGTGCAAGGTAGATCTAATTTCGGGTGTTAATTTTAGTTAGTGTGCTTAACTTGGTAACTTCAAGTAAATGCCAACTTCAAGCACGACAATATCATGTTTAATTATAATAGTCCTTCATAATTATACTAAAACTTTTTTTTTGTTTCTAGATATCGGCACAATACGGTATTACATATATTAAAAAGAGAACATGAATTTCCGAATTTACATTGTAATTTCATTAATAACATTAATTACATGTAGAGATGTTATGGTCCAATTTAGTCCAGTCTTGGTCCTAAAAGTCAGGTCCCAGTAGAAGATCACGGATTGGCCCACGAACCGGTCCATGGTCCAATCTATTAAAACAGGCCCAACCAATAATGATTAAGTTTGTGTAGTTAGGATAATGGTTGGTAGGGCAATAATAAGGACGTTTTATAATTTAAAATTTTGTAAGAAATTTTTTGTTAAAGAGCAGAAAGTAGTTTCATCACTTCGATTCAATGTTAAACCTGACTAAGTATCCTGATTGGTCGGTCAGCGTAGTAATAACTCTTACAATTATGATACAGACATATACTAGTCCAGATAGATCAAATTTCGGATTAAAATACGAACTAGTCAAAAGACCAGTCCTGACTATGGTCCTTGCAGAATCATAACATCTCTATTTCATTCATATTCATGGTGAAATAAAATTGAAACTATCAATACTGATTTTTTTTTTTTTTTGTTCTAAATAATAGCACTTAATAGGTTAGATCGTTTGACATCAGGAATAATGATTTTATCATCAAAAAAAGAAAAAGCCCAAGAATTTGAACAGCAAATGAAAAATCGTAAAATCCAAAAAGAATATATTGGTCGAGTGTTGGGTGAATTTCCAGAGTGCGTTATGGAAATCTTTGTCTTCTCTTGTATGTTATTGGTAAACCTAAATTTGAACTTGGAACATAATTCATTTTTTAATAGGGAAAAAGTAACGTGTGATAAACCTATTAAGATAGTATCTCATAAACTTGGCTTAAACGTGGTTCATGAGTACGGGAAACCGTGTACAACAATTTTTGAGCGAGTTAGTTATAATGGTCGGACTAGTATTGTAAAATGTATATCCTAACAATTTTAATTTTAATTTTGCGAGTTCAATAATTTCATAAATTAATAATGGTATTAATAATGGTTTATTGTTAAAAAAGGCAAGCCAATTACAGGTCGCACACACCAGATTCGAGTTCATCTTCAATACTTGGGTCATCCAATTGCCAATGATCCTTTATATGCAAATGCAAAAGCTTGGGGATCTAAACTTGGGAAAGGTGGTATTGATGCGGAACAAACAGATATAATAATCGATAAACTTATTAAAGAAGGTTTTTGCGATGATGGTGATATGAGTGTTGATTCTCAAAAGAAAACTGATGATTCTCAAACTGATGCTGAAGATGATTTAAAAAATGAGATCGCAAAGTTACAAAATGAGAATAATCATGCTAAAGAATCAATTGTTACTGTTAAACCTAATATAGAGATTTGTGTAGAATGCACCGCTCCAAAATTTTCTGATCCTTTTTTACACCAACTATTGATTTGGTTGCATGCTTTAAAATATGAAGGTGATGGGTGGAAATTTGAGAGTGAGTTACCTTTTTGGGCTAAAGACGATTTTGTTGGAGATATGGAATATGCCTAATCACAATAATTTTTTAAATAAATATTTTTTGTAAAAAAAAAAAAAGAAAAAAAAAGAGTATATATTTTTTTAAATCAGATCATTTCTTATAAATCTTTTTGCCTATTACCAAATAACCAAAAACATTCTTGAATTTTACAAATACGATTACAAAAAAGTTATATACAGAGGCCTCTCTAAGTGCGCCCTCTATAAATGCAAACTTTATGTAAAATCTCTTTAAATGCACGGTGTAGTCTGGTATCATCTTATAATTGCACTATATATTTTTCTCTTTATAATGCTCTCTCTCTCTAAATGCACATTTTTACTATACCTCCGAGAGGGGGTGCATTTAGAAAGGTCTTTCCGTAACTGTATTTTTAATACAATCTAACCTCTTTATAATCATAGTAAAAATGTGCTTATAAAGAGTTTGTGCTTGTATAGAAGTTTATTCTATATTTATAATAATTATTATATAATTTCAAAATAGGCGTGTTATAAAGAGAATTGTTATATGTAGGGTGATTATAGGGAGATCTTTAATTCAAACTAGTGTTAGAGCCAGTCATCATAAGACGGGCTATATAGTATGGAATAAACGCTACAAACATGTTATGCAAATATTGCAGACTCTTATATAAAAGACCATCGGAGCTATATGAAATTGTTGGATCTGCTTCTATAAACTCCGAGACACTTGAAAAATGACCGAATTGACTCGATAATTTATCGATTCGGTTACTATGATTCAGGGACACGGCACGGAAATTATGTGATTTGTTTTAGTGCAATTAGGTTACAGCAGAGACCGTTAATGTTGCGCATATATTATAGCTGTTTTCAAAAAGGTGTGAACAGACGCACCATATCTCGGGAAATTCACGAAATTTGCCAGATTTCCGGAATTTTCAAAGCCAGTGCTAATCGGACATTCAATTTTTACTAATCAGAATTTCCCTATTCTTCGATTCCCACACAGGCATATGGAAATCGTTGTTCACACCTTTTGAAAACAGCTGTAAAGCTGTTGAGGGATTATAAGGCGTGAGGGATTCACTTTGAATCGGGCACTGTCTTTGCTGTACAATTATGTTTGTATCCAGTTTTTTCTTCTGAGTGTCTCTATCATTTGACTTTCAATTATATTTTTAATGATCTGCACAAACATAATTGAAAGCCTGATGACAGATTTTCCTTGACGACACTCATATGAAAGCAGCTGGAGCGCGGCTATATGGTGTCTTTGTTGACAGATTTTTGAAAGATTGATAAAATTTCGGTACGGGATACAGTTACACAAACGAAATCAGGTGTAACGTCAAATTATCCGATCACTGTAATATAGTAAAAATTCTTAAAATTCATTAACGTTAGGATTAGTGCTTAGTATAAAGTTAGAGGTTAAATAATTAGATAGTAAAATCACTCAAGGAAACTTTTTTGTTATAGCACCAAAAGTGGTTTTTTTATACTGGTTTTTGAGAAATAGGTGATTTTTAACAAAACGAACGTTTGTTTTGAAATTTCCTGATCGTGTTACGTTACGTTACTCCTGATTCTTGAGATCTGATTTGTGGATCAGAACAATGATCGACAAAACCTGGCACAGATTTCTTGAAACCACCTTTGGGCGTTAATAAAAAAAACTCCTTACGAAATTTCGGTATAAGCTATTTCCCACCTCTATTCTAAATCCACCCTTACACTAATTAGGGTTGTCAAATTACGTAATTCTGTGAAATTTTGTAGAAGTTTTCAGTAACATGGTTTTCAAAGGAACATGATCATATGCTCATATGATTGGTTGGATCATATGTAAAGATCTAGTATCACCAGTCTAAAAAATTTCGCAGACTATATGATCTTATTAAAAAAATTGTTTCGCAATTTAGTTTAGGGTTAGGGTCTCATCAGTAGGTTAATGTTTGTTTAAAAGGTTATGGTTATAGTAAAATTTCATGAGGAAATTTTTTTGTTAGTACGCAGAAGGCACTTTCATAGGCAAAATTTCGAGCTACAAGCGTTTTTTTGTTGGTTTGATTTTTTTGCAATTTTTTGCGTTACACGAGATCTTGAAATATGATTGGCCAGCGAGATTTTTTTGACTGGTACTATTGATCATATGTACATCGATTTGGTCAGTGAACTTTATGCAGAATCTACTGTAATGCTAGCTGAATTTTTCATAGTGCCAGTACTATATATCACATGTAAAATTTACATAAAATCCATTGATAAAATCACAAACTTATCGAATTGGCAAATTTTGGTCTGTTAATTTTTCATAAGATGTCTCAGAATTTATGAAAACAGCTGTAAATGATAATAGTAACTTTATATTGGATATTATTATTGTCAAAATCGTCTCTAATTGAAGTTGGTGAAAATATTCACTCTCAAACACTTATATGAAAAATATGTTTTCAAATTATAATCTCACAAAATTTGGATAGGTTTGAACTATTAAAAAATTTTTTTAGCTATTTACGGGTTCATCATTCTATTATAAACAATATAAAAAAATCAGGTAACATTTTTTTCTCTTTGGACCATTATGCGTTTTTGATATATGCATCAAGAATGCTAATTTGTGGCATTAAAACTGTAGAAATTGAACATCCTTCGCTAATAAAATTTGAAATTTGAATTATTATACATACAGTAGGCTCAAAAAGTATATCATGATTACACAAAAAGACAATATAAATTTTATAAATACTGTAACCGTATCTATTAAGGGTAGATAGGTTGTAATGGTTATTTTCGCAATTTTAGACAATTTTGGTTATTTATTTCTTTATTAAGGAAAATTTGCAAAGGAAAGCCTAATTAGCTTTCTTTCTTTCTTTACATATTTATATCGCATATTACAATATAATTACTCAATTATGACTTCAATTGAATGCATAACTATTACGATTATTAATGCTTGAACATTCGCTCATTTTAATGTAATTCTGATTTTATATCATATTCATGTGCCATACGTTCGTTTAATAAACTTCCGACACATTTACTGATAACACGTGCGTTGTGCAACATTCCCTTACAAATACGATATTAATATTTTACTATTATGCAAATTAGCATCATGCAAATTAATAATATATGCAAATTACAATATATAATGATATAATATATCAATATTTACAAGCATAATCATTATTAGTGATAAATTTTTTTTTATGTTCTTATAGGAAACTTATATAAGAACGTGTCTAATATTATATTTTATAAATTCTAAAATAATATAATAAAAATTATTTAAATAAGCAACTCTAACTACTTTTATTAAATTATAATTTTTACAATGTTACAATTATCAAATATAAAAAATTTACATACTATATTATTTGATGTAAAAAAATATATTAATTATTTATTTGAAAATAATATTAGGGTGTGGCGACCTAGTGAAGTGGTCAGGTTGTCAACCCTCCAAGTGGTAGGTTGGGTGTTCAAATCCCATCAATGGCGAAAATTTGGATAATCACCTATGTAATATTCGTATTATGGCAACTGTTACTAACGATTGGGTTAGGATACCTGTAATGGTAGTTGCACCAGCATGACTGGCAGGTTATGGGGCATCCGTGCAATGTTGAAGTTACATGGAGAAATGCAAACTGACAAATCGGGCAGTGCAAACACTAGATAAGTCTTTGTGGTCATGTAAATCTATTGAAATTGGGTAACAAGAAGTCCATTTAGGAAGACCTGAGTAGAGAGGTAACTGGATCTTTGATGGCTCTACTGTAAAGGCTAGCTTGGGGAAACGGATACCCAGGTCTAGTGCCCAGTCCTAGTAGCTGGACGGACAAGAACCTCCAGATTGGGAGTCTCAGAGGTACTACCAACTAGACCACCAGAACGAACTGAAGGAAAAGGATATCAGGCTGACCTGATATACCGATAGACTGGTTATAGTCTTACACGGACTATCTGGATTGGGAGTTTGGTAAAAGAAAAAGAGAAAAGGCAGGGGTATACCAAAGTACTGGGATTATGCTGTGAAGTAGATGCTGGGGTCTAAGTGAACTCTACAAAGGCATAGCGGTTTAATGGTTAGCCCTGACCACAAGTGTTAGTTCTGCTATAGCGATACCTAGGTTAACTGTAAAAATAGATACAGAAGGTTCTGGAAGGTTTACTTCAAGAATAAATTAGTTCTAAAGTTGAGGATGATGATCTGGTACATCTGAGATGACCAGTGATGTTAACACAGATTACAGGTTCAGAGAGTTTAAAATGAAACTCCAAGCAGGAGTGTTAGATATGGTAATTGGTAGAGAACCTTCGGGCAGACTCCTTAAATAGGTAATATAAAAAAGTTATATATATAGCCAATTGTATGTTCTCCTGTAGTGGTTCATTGAACCACAATACTGATAAGTGATTAATATAAGTTAAAAGACCAAAGAGGTCACCTTAATACCAAAAAAAATAAAAATAAAAATAATATTATTAATAAAATAACAAATTGTACTTATTGTAATTCTGAGTTATATTTTAATAACAGAATATATTAACAAAAAATTTATACTTATAAAAATTTTAAATATCATAAAACCTTTTTAATTTACAAAAATACAATTTTTTTAAAAAATCATTTAAATTGTAGCAATATTTTATTAATTGTTTATTTGTATACAAATAAGTTTAATTACTAAATTTTTATCAATACAATTGTTAAATTTACTAAATTATTTCATGAATTAGCAATTAATATAATAACTGAAGATAACTTATATGTTGATAATAAAAAAGTTATTGTAGAGATTAATGAATTAAAATTTAGACAATTTGAATCATAGTAAATTGTAGAAAAAATCAAAAGAACTAAAAAAAAATTTTTTTGTTATTATAGAAGATAGAAATAAAGAAATATTACAACAAATAATTAAACAACATATTAAAAAACATTCAACTACATACACAAATTTATGACAAAAATATTAAGATCTTAAATTATTTGGATATAAACATATTTAAATTAATCATTTAAGAACTAATTA